GTTAAAACTCTTAATATCTTAAGTCTTGTATCTTCCTTGTTTTTTTTATAGCTGCTAGTTTGTTAGTCGTTGTCCTAATTTGTAAATTTTGTGCTGTCTTGTTTTGTCTTGTTTTACTTTGTATTGTATTTTTTAACAGAGAAACTTTTTGTGGATATGTCCAATGTGTTGATTTTATGTTTTACTTTTATTTTATTTTAAATGTACAGAGATGTATCTGGTTAGTTTCCTTAATAAATAAATAAACACCCAACAGTAAATCTAGAGATAAAATTTGTGTGTTCGTTTGACGCGATAAATAGACATATAAATGCTTTGACTTGAGAAACTTACTATTTCTTGATACCTGAATATTAAGACAATTTTATTATTATCCAAAAGATCCATATATTGTTAAAATCTGTAAGCTCTTGATTCAAAAGTAATGTCTAAGACTTAAGTTGATATATATAATATACATACTAATACATACATAGATTAGATCTTAAGTGAAATTCCATGTCTTGCTTAACTTAGTACAGATGCATACAACAATATATAAACAGAAGTTGTATCCGATACAATCACGTTCCTAAATGCATTTTAATTCCTGGGTTTCATACCCGTGGAAACATTTTGAGAATTGATTATATTGGATGTTGATACAAAATTAAAAAAAAAGGGTCTGTATACCGATAATGATTACTATGAAATGATGGTTTAAAAAACATAGTGTTTATTGTAAAATATCATGATTAGTACATATTATATCGTTACTACTTATGTATTTGCATTTTTATTGTCCATTTTAATGGTTACTTACAATCGTAACGATATAATATGTACTAATCATGATATTTTACAATAAACACTATGTTTTTTAAACCATCATTTCATAGTAATCATTATTTTGGTTTAAATAAACACGACTCTGAAAAACAGACAAATGACAATGCAACCTGTCGATAAAACAGAGCAAGCGCCAACTAGCGGTCCAGACTATTTTACCGACGTTTGAATAGATACTCAGAGTGTCAGTTTTTTTGTGACGGTGTGGGCGCGCATCGTAAAAATTACCCTCATAATTTTTCCCTAACGCGCCCAAAGAAGTATAACTTCAAAAAAATCTCCGTGCTCCATGGGCGTAGTTAGGTATATATAAATTGTTTGTTAAAAAACTGATAAACAAATAAAAGCAAAGTCGTTGAACATTGAAAACGTATTCCAAACTCGTCAAGTGCGGCCTGCTACAAAACTTTCGTGACACTCGCTCGAGTTCTTTAACCATCAATTAAGAAGAATTTACAATAGATATTACTCCAAAGGATTTTGGCCGTTTTAATATTCATCCAATTATATTTTTGTAGGTTTATATAACAATTATGAGTCACATTTATGTTAAAAAAAACATGCACCAGTTATACCATTTTAGTTTTTGGTACGTTAAAAGGAATAAATTATTTGATTCTTTTCTCCAACTTTGATTTTGTTACCTCCGAAGCAGAGACTCTTAGGCCGAGGGTTCAATTGCACAGGCGGTAAATTAAGATTTTTTTGGCGCCTTTCCTCGCTCACCGTGCGAGTATCACAATACATCGAGGAAATGCTGCCAGTATTAAAGGTACACTGGCACAGGGACCAAATTATTAAAATTTGTTTTTGTTTCATATTTATTTGTTGTCAATTATTGTATTACTATTGTGTATTATAATACTATGTAGGTTAAGAACATTTAAAATTTAAGAAACTAGTAATATCCGCGCCGTAGTATAATATAAAAAGAAAAGAAGGCAATTGAAATGGCGCTGGACCGGGCACATGACGAGAGATAGCTGTTGGACTGGTTGAAAAATTATAACAAAATGGCAACCACGAGATGGAAAAAGAAAAAGTGGAAGACAGAAAGAGACGGGCAGACGATATAAAGAGAATAAGAGGACACGCTGATTACCAAAATTGGCATATCTGATGCAATAAAGGCTAAATAATAATAATAATATCCGCGCCTACTATATTTTTCGTAGATAATATGTTTGTAGTTTGTGTAGCGCGTAGGCTCTTCAAAGCACTACGCTTTTTTACCGTAGAGTTTTATTGTGACAAAATCTTTTAAAGTATATATTTAAAACTTTTGCAATTCCATATAGAAGTGGCAGAGACTATGTCTTATCTAATCGGGGAGTTAAGTTCTAAATTCACGTGTAAGCTTAAGAACTTTTATGTATCAATGTACCAAACCAACCAGTACAAACCTTTGGTCTACGTGGGCTTAAGTTCGTTATTACTTATTTTGAGTTGAATTAAATATAAAATTGGGGAAAGTTTAGTTTAGTTTACTAGAACAATAAGATATAGTTTAAAGATTAAAGTTGGCGCCTGGTAGATAGTACCGGTGACCCCAGAGCTGGTGCTTTCTTCCCTCAACTAATCGCAATAGAGTGAGGAAATGCTGGCAGCATTAGGTACTACAGGTACCAAACTTTTTGAAGTTATACTTCTTTAGGCGCGTTATGAAAATTTAATGAGAGTGAAATTTTACGAAGCGCGCGCACCATGACACAAAATTAACAGAATGAAGTTAGTGGCGCATGTTGGTACGCACGCCGCCTCTGTTCACTGTGTATTTATATTTATAATATTTATCCACATGCTTTGAGTTTCTACATTTAAAACACGTGTTTTCATTTTGTTTTCATTATACAAGTGCGAATTTTATATGTGCGTCTGAATTATAAACAGAAGTGATTAAAATTGAATATTTAAATCAATACTAATTAATATTAGAAAATAATAATAAATATAATATTAATATTTATTTTTTAATTTTTCAAATGTAAACTGAACTTTATTGACTATAATGACTCCTTTTCCAGTCTATGATTATTTAATTGTAATGAATTATTTGCATGCAATCAAAAACTATTTTTAATAATGCCAAAGAAGTATAACTTCTTACGCGCGTACATAAGTACACGCACCCTTTTTTTACTTTGTTTTAGTTTTCTATTTATACGTATAATTACTGTGAAGGTTGAGAATACTGTGTATTTGTGACACAGTAACATCTAGTTTAAAAACTTGCTTATTGCAAAGAATTGTACATAAAACGCTTTAATAGAATCTGGAACATCTGAAATTTTTTGCTTCATGTAGCACTCAATTCGTAAGACGTAGTAGGCGGCTGTTAGAAACTCAATTAAATCACCAATGACGCCACTCCTTTCTGATCTCAAATTGTTCCCTGTTATTAACTTGAACTAATATTTTAATATTATTAAATTTAAAATTATTAGGTTTAAATTTAAATATGATTTTAGTATGTTTACATCTCCTAGCCTTTCAGTAATTGTAGACATAATGTATAAAGTATATGCGGTATATAGGGAATCATTTTGTTGTGAATAATTGAGTGTTCCTGGTTGGTAATAAAAATAGTATCAATTTATACTATGACTATGAAATAAAAAGTTTTTAGTTTGAGATTTAAATTCTTAATCAAAATTTTGTGATAGAGGTATTAGTGTAATGATAAGTGATTATAACACTTTTTTGGTTTAATTTCATTATGATTTTAGTAAGATGTTACTTTAAAAATTACGTGTCGATTCCTTATTATTGAAGTTATACTTCTTTAGGCGCGTTATAAAAAGATGATGAGAGTGAAATTTTACGATGCGCGCGCACCTGAGACACAAAGTTGTCAGTGTGATTATAGCGTGCGCGAGCGAGATGGGAATAAGACTATCTACAAGTAAAAAGAAATAGAATATGCGTGAAGTTAGCAGCTATGCCAAGAATTTTGAATGACCATAATGACATTTACCTTTTAAACAAATAAAGGAGTTTTAATTATTTTTTCAAAGAAATTTAGCAATGCTTTTTCACAAAGACCTATTGTTACTTAGTTAAAAGGTTATGAAACATACCTAGTTATTGAATTGAATGAATAATATAATAAAATAATAAATAAGAATAATAATTATTATTAATATTAATTAATAATTGAATAATATACTAAATATTGAATATTATTAAATTATTAACGTTAAATATTTATTATTAATTATTTAATATTTTTAAAAAATAAAGAAAGCCAAAGAAGTATAACTTCTTACGCGCGTACATACTTATGTAAAAAAAAGAAAAAAAAGGGTGCGTGTACTTACACGCACCCTTTTTTTATTAATTGAAGGCATAATGTACATAGTATATCCAATATATAGTGAAGTTATTTGTCGTGAATAATTGTGTGTTCCTGGTTGGTAATAAAAATGATATATATCGCTAAAATAAAAACTTTTTAGTTCGAGATTTGAATTCTTAATCAACATTTTGTTATAGAGGTATCATTGAAATGATAGTGTAATATTGGTTTTAATTTCATTATGATTAGATACTTAAAAAATCACATTGCTTTCCATTATTTTTTTAGTAATTAAAGGCATAAAGTATTTAGTATATCCGATGTATAGTGAAGTTATTTGTCGTGAGTAATTGTGTGTTCCTAGTTAGTAATAAAATGTAGAACTTTTTAGGTAAAATTTGAAGTTAATTCGTAATCAACATTTTGTAATTTATAGTTGTAATGATAGTGTAATATTAAAATTAATGTGAAATTTTATAATTATTGTTGAAAGTTTTCGTATAATAAAACCACAGAGATAACAATTGTTAAAACTTTTTAATTTGCTTGGAAAATCTACTTCAAAACATTCGCCTTTGTCGTCGGGATCAGTCGTAAAGTTTTTTTTTATATTTTCTGATGCAATTAAAAAAATTACAAAAAACCATAGAACGCGTTAACCAGCTCATACATAAAACTGTAAACCACGCTCTAAGAATAATTGCGCATGTCCTATCGTTATACAGCTGCAATAGTTAAACCTAATATTGTGTTCACTTATACTAGTATATACAGTATTAGTATTAAGAACAAATAATTGCATCAGTATAAGAAATAGGGGCGCAAGCAAATCTCTATCCAATTCGAAGCCATGGTCTGGTAGGTGAACTAGATCAGTCTAAGCGTCGGCTGAAGCGGATTGCGTCGCAGTGCTGGCGTTGGTGGACTGGGTCTCTGCGCTGGGTTCTCGGATGCCCATCCATGGCAGCCTCTTCTCAAGCTCAGCCCTGTTAAGAAGTAATTTTAGTATATCTGTTCTGTTTTGGCTTAAAATTATTAGCTAAAATACTAATTGTAGAGCAGTGTTGGCCTATTGGCTTCAGCGTGCGACTCTCATCACTTTCTTTCTATTTAACATTCGCTCGAACGAAAACATCGTGAGGAAACCGGCTTGAATTAGACCCAAAAAGTCGACGGCGTGTGTCAGGCACAGGAGGCTGATCACCTACTAGCCTATTAGATACTCTGCACCACTTATTTTAAATACTAATTGAGTCAGTTAAGTTATAATTCCACTATTGTATTCTTACTACCCCTTGAGTCTTGTATGACATGTATTGTTTTATACCATACCGGTTTTCTATTCAAACACTGGTGACAATTACCAACATATTAATCACTTACTAATTACGTTCAATCTGATTGGCGTTGGAATTATACCTGTATCTTGGGTGGTTGATAGCGTATACCCATGGGTCAATACAGGACACACTCTTGGCAAAGACTGCTGGGATCATGGTTACATGGGGAGTCAACAGATTCCTGAAAACAAAATTGTTTTAATGTTCTGTTTCTCTATTTGTACTTTTGTTAATAGAGTGTTACATCTATTAATTGGTACATGCTTTCAAGAAAGCGTAAAACTTATAAATAATAATAGGTGCATTAAGACTTTACTAAACCAAATTTAAATGGACTTTGGATAGCATGTAATCTGTGTATTTACCTGTCTCCAAAGGTACCAATCATGGTCACAACAGCGTAAGGTGTCCAGGCGCAGACGAACAAGAAGAAGATTGTGAACGCAACCTTGGCGATTCTGATTTCTACACTCTTGCCGGCATCTTCCTTGTTGGAGGCTAGAGATTTGACGTTCATCTTCTTGGCTTGTTCACGAAGCATTTTTTCGTGGAGGCGGACCTTTAGATGCGTAATGGTTTTAATTAAACAGTCTAGGAGTGGCTAAATAAACGTTATGCCATTGATAGTAGTAATAGAATACTTATATCATCATAATATTAGTAGAGAATATTATTTGTAAAGTATCTTTGACTTGACTTAATGCCCACTTAAATATCTTGGAGGTTAGGATTTATAAAGAAGTTTCATATTATTCTTACAGCGCTGAACAGCTTCGAGTAGAAGAAGCAGATGAGGACCATTGGAATTACGTAGCTCCAAACGAAAATGCAGGCCACGAATACCCGAGTGTCGGAGTCGTCAGTGAAAGAGTCGAAAGAGCAAGTTGTCAGGAAACCCTCTGGAAGAATAATGTTAATATCAGCTATTAGCTAAATCTTTGAGATTCAGATTTACTGCACATTAGATTTCAATTAATGCTGTATTAGTCTTGCTTTGATGGATTTTACCTGTCCCCCATATCTGTTAACGAATTAAAGGTTGGGTCATATTTAATACTAGAACTGGACCTCATGGTTCTCATATGTTATAAATTATAAACAGTTGCTTAGTTTTTTAACAAATTAAGAGCTGAAATCTGAAATTGACTCAAAATTCGTATACAATAAAATAAATTATAAAAAATATTACCGTTAATTAAAAAATTCTTACGTATATGTTTTTACTCGCGATTTGTCACTCAAACGGTGTTCGTTACAAGTGGATTAGCTCGGATTATTCTTGCATATTACATTACTCATTACTAATACTACTAATGCTAAAGGCTGTATAGTTTGTTGCAAAATACCTATAATCATTGCAAAGATAGTTTTGGTATCGAACTTTCATATTATATAAGGAATCATTTTAGGTTAGATTTGTTTCGTCCTGTCGAAGATATTGAAATGGAAAAATCGCTCTTTAATAAACTGCACTTTGATGAAGCAAAATTCAAAGACTTCTGTAATTAATATAGATACCATTTATATCTTTAGACTCTAGTAACATTATTAGTACAGCTTCAATTTTTTAATTGAAGGTGTAATATCATATTTAAGAAATGTTTGTGTTATTCCATACAATAAGTCGTTTCCTAATTAGATCGTAATTTACCTTGTCCTATCTGTCCATTTCCGTACAATTAGCAGTGTTAATATCCAATAACAATAGACAATAAATATTATTTTATGGTAACAGACTTAATGTTGAATATGTTTATTGAAACATACCTGGTACAAACTTGCCCCAGACCCTGGTCAGTGGCAGAATGGTGAATGGCAGGGTCCAGAACCAGGTGAATACAATCAGGATGATTGCTTGCACTTTGTTAATTCTACCGTCGATCGGGCACGAAATGGTCCTATGAAATTATAAATGTGATTAATTTGTCGATGAAATTTCCGTGTACAAATTTCTCTTATGCTAAATATCACGAATTATCTTTTAAGTTTGTTTGTCTAACAAATTTAATTATTCAATAAATATATAAGTGCTTTATTACAAAATTTAGTTGTTTCTTGAATGGAATGTTATTTTTATAAGTTTGTTTACACAACGTGTGGGGTGAATTGTATATAAATATAAACGCAGGACTTTCTCAATTGATACTCCAATATTATAAATAAATTTAAAACTAGGCCTTAAATATCATCTTTGCATCATGCAAAGATGATATTTAAGGCTATTCTCTACGGCTACTTACTTGTATCTGTCAAATGCAATAACGGCGTTGGTAATAGCCGCACCGATTCCTGAAACAGAACCAAGAGTGGCATATATATCGCAGCCGAGCTGATAGCCAAGCATCTTCTGGTAGAATGAGTTCATGATGAGGTGAGGCATCTCTATCATCATCACCAGGTCGAATAGCGCCAGGTTCACGATGAACATGTTACTCGCCGACCGGAGGGATTTGGACCTGAAATTATTTTAATTGTATACATACTTTAAAAATTCGTTTGCTTAGCTTTGTCATTAATTGCGATTTGCTTGTCACTTGTTATTAGTAATATAGAGAGACGTATAAGGAAATTTTAGTTTTTATAGATCTCATTTAGAAAACTCTTTCGCAAATAATTTTACGATGATGCTTTCGAAATGGTCCAAGCTCTCTAATTTGAATCATGTTTCAATTGTTGTATAAAAGCAGAGATTCTAAGGAAAAGAGAAAAAGAAAGTAATACGTACGTGCTGAAGATCCATACGACGATACCGTTGCCGCATAGGGATGACACCATCAGCATAGTGTAGATAAGAGCTAACATATAGTGCCAGAATTTGTCGACCGCCGCGAAGTTACGCCAGTGTTCGTGCACCAGGTCCTGGTGTTCTGGAGGGATGTTGAAGCCCAGCATGTTCTGCTGGACCTCATTTGATACCCTAGAATTGTATTGAATAAGTTATATATAATTGTTGAGTTAAAAACCAAGGTAAGTTTTATGGTAAAATTTTTTTTACCATAAAAATATTTTTATCAAAATATTTTTTGTTTCTCCAAAACACCAACTATATCAATTATCAAATAAAACCTCTGTAATATAAAGTAAGTTAAAATGTTTGCATTATATAATTTTCGTATAACAATCGTGAACCGAAAGCATAAGGATTCCCAAGGAAACAAATCTCAATAACGCTTGACCCACTTTTGAAAAATGCTACGTAGACGAATTGGAAAGTACAAAGGGCATGAAGAATTTCAGACTTGAGGTCAGAGAACTTGTCTAACTTTTCCAATTTATATTCAACTGTATTCAGGGGCGACGCAGTGGAATTGTTTTACCGATTTATTCCCTCTATTCCGAATGGAATTTACTGCGCGAGTACCTGCATTTTTTCAGAGATTGATGTTTACATTCAACGGGAGCGGTTTGGCGAGATCCAGTTACGGATATGAAATTCAGCTTTGAAATGCTTTTCTTTGAACTTTTAAATTGACGTTTTATAGGTCATCAAGATATTAAAGACATTTCGGGGTTTGAATTGAAATAAAAGTATTTTAATTGGAATATATTTTGACGGACTTAATAAGCGAACATATGAGGTATTTTGATTCATTTGAAAAAAAAAACACATATTACGTGAACCCAAAAAATAAGTATTATAATTCGAAGCGATTAGTTTGAGTAAACATAAGAACTTGAAGGAAAATGCGTAAGAGATATGGTGTAAGAATAAGATTTGTCCATCTGGTACGCTCGTCCCAGTAATATGTTGAAGTGGTACTAAAGACTTGGGGTTGTGTTGCAGCTACCCAACAGTTACAATAACTAGATGGGAAAATGCCAAAGAATTGATTTCGCATATAATAGCCAAACGGTTGCACCGCTGAGGTTCTTGAAGATGTTGGGAGTATCCAGGAAGAATAGTGGACAGCTCGTAACAAAAACGGAGCACTGCATAATCGCGGTAATTCATGAATTGCATAAAGGAAAATATTTTTGAATAAAGTTTAAAAAATGTACTTACATTTTGAAGGCGTAGGCAATGGCGCCGCCATCGGCCGTAGCGTTAACGGTGTCAAACATTGCGAAAAATTAAAAAGGAATTTGAACTACTGATTATTGACGAAGTGAGTAGTCCGACATTTGAAGTCGCTTCTCACTTGTGCTGTACGGTGTTCGATGTACACTTTTTATATCCGCCGAACAGAGCGTGTCTCTTAATTCCTTAATTTAATAAAAGACATTCTTGTACTTTCATTGAAATCAAGCCTGAAGTTATGTGAACATTGTTCTCAATCTTTTACATTTATTTATTATGTATAGATAAAAACAATATATGTATATAAAACTACTACAATAATGAATAATAATAATAATTTTGTTTGAATTGAACAAACAAAACACTGCCGCGGACCAATTTTTTTGAATTTGTTTTAAACTTCTTTTATAAATATTTAATAATTATTATTACTATGTAGGTTAAGAATATTGTCAATACTGTATATTAATCGTATATACAACATAGATTAGACGTTAATTGTCGTCTTAAATGACCCTATTGTAATGAATAAAAATACAAAAGATACCTCAAGTGCATTGGAAAGTACGCTAGAATACTCTTAACGATGAAATCTCCTCGTTATAAAGAAAATGGAAGCTTTCCTAACAAATTTCCTTACAGAAAAATATCGTTTAAGAAGTATAAATACCGGTCTTTCTAGTTCAAAAAGCATTTTTTAAAGCTGTTGTTTGTATATAAAATTAGCTAAGTTTTTAATTCAATGAATTTGTCTCGTATTATTTTTGAGACAGTACGATTTGACCCCGATTTAACAAAACCAAAAATTAACTCACTATAGATACATGGGACTAGAAATTTTAAGTTCGTGTTTCGAAAAGCCAATATTAAAGCGAACCCTTGACCCTTCAAGGTCTACTCGACCCTTAAAAATAAATCGAATCACGTCATAATTTAAACTAGTTCATTAGGATGGCAACAAGATTGTAGGGCAATGCCCAGTTTAGACACAAGCAATCCTCGCATCATGCCCGATAAACGTGCCGGGAATTCGCCCCTACGACTGAAATTTTGGTTCACGAATGTCCATACAAATTCCCAAAGAGATTATTAAACTAAAATGTTTTGGGGAGAACATAGCACTTGATAGCACAAAGAGTATTTTACACTAATTTGTTATTTTTGCTACAAAATCTGTACCTAAATCCACCACAAACACTGTTTTGTATTCCCATTTTGGAATGTTTATTTTAACAGACTCAATTAAAAATTTATGACCAAGCGACAGAGACTCCGTTCAGGCCCCTGAAGATAGCCGTAACTCCTGGATCTGCCTTTGCTTTCCTATTTATTTTCGACCTTGTCCGCTTTTGATTGATGAAATGGAACAAGGAATTGCATCCTTTTTTAATAACCATTTACAGCGACTGTATTCACATTAATTAGATTGCCATTGTCATTTTTTTTTCTCAAACATCACATATGTTACAAGGAGGACAATCAGATACGAAAATATGTAATAGAAAGGAAATACATGTGTGAAAATAGTAAGAGAACTTAACAAGGCGCAGCGCTAACCAGAGTCATGTAACTTGATGTTCATTTGTTACAAAGTGGTCTATTCAATTCCTACTTAAGTGTAATCTAGGAACAAAAGTTTAATCTTATGAAAATCATCATTATAAGGTAATAAATATTTCCGAGTGGCTTGATAAATTGGCCAGTGGCGTAGAGATGTGGGAGCTCTCTACATCTTCTACCGCATTTACATGGAGAGTGTTCAGAGGAGTTGTTCGGACTAATACCTGCAGCTGGGTTTCAGTTAAGTTGAACGTTTTAGTTAAGGCAGTTTCTGCCGCGGACCACCACTATGTGGAACCAGCTGCCCACTGTAGTTTTTCCGAACCAATTCGACTTAGAGTCCTTCAAGAAAAGAAAATTCTTAAAAGGCCAGCTTGCGGAGCCTTCTGGCAGTGCGAGTGTCCATAGGCGGCGGTATCAATTATCACCAGGTGAGCCTTCTGGCAGTCTCCCTTCTGTAACATAAAAAATAAACACCAACATGTAAAGAGTGTTGAGCATATTTGAAATTTTTCAGGTATATGTTAAAGCTTAATTAAAATTATAAGTAAACGATTCTGTTTCACGCCACGGTAGCAGATTATGCTCACTCCGATATGGTAATACCTGTGCGTGTCACACGCATCTTAATTGTAAGTCGGACGTGAAAATTCAATAATCCAACGCATAATTAGTTGTCAAGCTTTCCTATAATTAAATATGAAAATGTTCCTGATTGTGTGATTAATTAATCCGCCAAAAATGTGACAAATTTCAATAACTTCTATATACTTACTCGTATCTCTTTAAACAGCAATTAAATTAATTTATACTCTTGGGCGTGATGATATATACTTTATATTTTCCCAAAGAGGTAGGCAGAGACCACAGATCTCCACTTGCAACGGTGCTGATATATCTCTCTCGCTTCATCCACTTTCAAGACATTCACCATGTATGCTCATCGGTTATGGGTAGTTTTAATTTCTCCCTTCTCTAGTCCAGGATTTGGTCGACAAGGCCTACCCAACCCAGCCTCAACATCCACGGTTGCTTTATATTGGGTGGCGCAAAAGTAAAGACCCTATTTGGTTCAGCTATAACATTTTTTCTAAATTAGAAAACTAGATTTAGGTTTTTTTTAATGTATATTTGTGGCATTAAATTTCGTACCATTAGGATTTAAAGATGATGTATTTGAAATGGTGACCTCCAGAGTTGATGGACATTTGAGCCCTATTTATGACATTTTGCATAACTTGCCGTAATACTTCCTGCGATATGTTCCTTATTTCTTGATGAAGGTTTTCTTTTAGAGCTGCGAGAGTCCTTCCTATCTTACTTGTTAACCGCTTCTCATTCATCAGATCTACCTGGAAAAAAACTATGACCTGTATAAAGTAACAATTTTATTTTACTTACACTGTTTGTTGTCTTTTGTTTTGTATCATAACTAAACGTATGTTTACCATCACAAGTCTCTAATACCTAACATTAAATAAATGATGGCTAACGACGGTTCCTTGAATATTAATTGACTAACAGGAAAAAGTTTGTAATACCAAAGAAGCTAAACCAGTTATGATTTTCATATCGAGACAAATTTCCGGAGTAGTGACCAAGGAGTCGCAGCGGCGCCCGTCAATATGAATAGTGCGGCTATAACTCTCCAGAGAAAATAGAGCCTCATTTTATTAGGCGTATAATACGAACGATCTTGTTGCTCCATTTTTACTAACGTCCCTTGATACGACACTGATCAAACCTATTGGGAAAAACGCTATACAGGATAGTTACGAACTCATAAAATAGCTAGAAGATAGTATAAACTGCCCATAAAACTTGGTGTTAATTTCTCACTTTGATTTTGGATGAGATTATTTTAGCCAACAAGTCCAATTTACTTTTCATATATCTACTATAAAAAAACAAAAATAATTGATACTGATCTTCATGCACTACAACTTAAATGAAGATGGGCCGGGTACGTAGCCCGTTATACAGATCACAGATGGTCAAAAACAGTAATCAAATGGACTGGTCCAAAAGGAAAAAGAAACAAGGGCAGATCAATAGAAGGATGGGCCGTTGAGATCGAAAGGGTAGTTGGAAAAAGCTGGGACAGGGGCCGCATCTTTGAGTAGTAAAATTCTATATATATTTTTGTATAAAGAACTAAATTCGAATGCAAATACAGGGGTCTAGGCTCCGAATATGATTTGGGTCCATTCGGTGTCGAGGCGCTTGGTCCATTGGGGTAATTGATGCTGATAAGGTATAACGTATGACATCAAGATATGGATGAATGCAGGCTTATTATTATTATATGTAATGTATAAAAAAATATGGACAATATTTTCAAAAATATATGTTAAAATATCTCGAAAATGTTTGAAAAGCATGGTTAACCACTATCGAGAGGTAAGTACGCATGTAAAACGATTAAACTCATTTATAATGGTATTAGAATACCTATTAAATTGCGTCACCAGTCGTACTGTTAGAATGCATTTATTTGCACGAAGAGGGGAAGAGGGGACGAGCAGACGCGTACATGTAAGTGATCAATCATAAAAACTCCTTAGATATTTCTTGGATTTCATCCAAAACTCGCATTCCCATTTGTTATAACTTCTGATAAAGAATTATATAATGTCAAAAGAAATCAATTCGTTCGAGTAAATTTGGAACCTAAAGATTCTATAGAACGATATTCCAAGATACTGCGACTCAAAACAAGTTTGCACAGACTTGGTCTAATATTATATCGCATTATTTCGAATAATATAGCGATACGCCAAAATTATGTCACTCCATATTCGGTGCCAAGCTGTGTACATAATTGGTTTTGGACAGTGCGGTCTGGCAAGGGTTCTAAGCTATGCATAGATTTGTTAGCTAATGTAAATTAATGTGTATCAGTTTATTTACTATGCCTTCTTTTCAGATCTTCACTAAATCAGTGCCGCTACTACTTGTCTGGACCTCAGATTTCTGTATCTATTTCGTAATCATTTGTTTTTACTAATAGTTAAGTAGGTAACAGCAAAACTAGCAACCCGGTTTCCTGACGATGTTTTGTTCAGCGTACGAGCAAGTTTTATACGCGCACATAGACAGAAAGTGGTGTACTGACATGCAGTGGTGTACACCCTGGAATTGAAGATGATAAAAATCGCAGGCACTAGTCCAACACAGCCCAAGATCTCTACTATTACAGTATATTCCCATGGCATTAGAGCAATATAGTTTCTTCTCAGAATTTTCGTAAATCAGCACATAGCCTGAAATAAAATAGTGTTTAAATATACTAATCCTAAATCGTGAATTAAACATACTGTCTTATAATAGTCACCATTTACTTAAAATTGGCTCGTAATAAGTAAAAAATACTGTAGTGTATTTAGTCCATATTTCATAAAATGGCCGTCTAAGTTTAAAATTCTTGTATTACAATTTCTGTCACTGAGTAACATCAACATAAGTAACCATGTCTAATTATAAT